AGGGCCTCTCCCGCAGATCTCAAGGGGCGGGTGGGCGTATATGGATGTAAGCACTCCTTCCATTAATAATAGGTTCCATTATTCCAGGTAATAGGTTCCATTGTCGTACTGTTCTGACAGTGAATAAATTCTTCCTAGTGTCCAGTCTAAATCTGGTTTCTTTCAGCTCAAGTCCATTATTCTGTGTCCTGCACCCTGGAATGAATGAGAGGAAATCTTGCCCTCCTCTTTGTGATAGCACTCTACATGTACCTGAAAGGCTATCATATCACCCCTCAGTCTTCTCTAGTTCTCTCAATCTTTCTATATAGGGCATTGCCTTCAATCATACTTGTTGCCCTCCTGTATATCCTTTCTAGCTTTTTTACATCTTTTTAAAACTTAGGTGCCCAGAACTAGATCCAGGTGAGATCTGACTATTGCTGAGTATAGGGGAACTAGTACTTCACATGTTTTGGAAGCGATACTTCTGTTAATTCAGCCAAAAATACTATTTGCATTTTTTGCAGCTGCATCACATTGTTTGCTCATATTTAGTTTGTGATCTACAACAACTTCAAGATCCTTCTCATTTGCAGTATTGCTGGGCCAAGTATTCCCCATTTTGTAGAGATGCTTTTGGCTCCTTGTTCCTAAAAACCTGGACTTGGCATTTGTCCCTACTGAATTTCATTCTGTTGTTCTCCGCCCAGCATTCTAACCAATCAAGATCAGTCTGTATCATATCTCTGTCTTCCAGGGTATTTGCTATTTCACCCAGGTTTGTGTCTCTGCAAATTTAATTCTACCATTGCAATACATCATGAACTATCAGGTGGTATTCATATTCGCCAGTCTGAGTTGTAAAATACTGGGAAAATACAATTAAATAAACAATAACATGGACACAGTGTATTGGATACTCACCCGCAAAATTGATTGTACTGTCTGTAAAGGGTACGTGAGGGTAGTGGCAATTGTTTTGGCTATTGCTCCAATGACAAATGCATCCAATGATGAAAGCTGTGAACAGTATAAATGATAGTTACTTAAATGTAAAACAAATTTTTAAGCTTAACAAAGTGGATAAAATAATATTTTCATAGAACATCAGAGTTTATCATTGTCTTGACTGCAGGCCTTGGAATCTCACCTGAATTTGCTTCTTCAAAATCTTCCGCTTAAGCCCTTCATAGAACATGAACTGAATTGCAGGATTGAACACTAACAGCAGTGAGGGAACAGTACCATTCCACAAAGACAGAATTCCTTCATCTCTTACTATCTGGTTAAAGGCATCTGATGAGTAAGGTGAAGAGGTAAAACAAATCTTTAACATCAAGCAACAACCTACTTACAGTAACACATTTGTTCAGCAACTTGTAATCTGTCCAAGTATCATTCCAACTAAATTTCTAAATTTGCCTTCTAGCATAGGTCAGTATTCATAGTGATCTCCTTCCTTTGATCATGCTGAGGCAGTGTCAGCATCTGGGCAGCTTCAGGGTTCCTTGGGCTGGCTGAACACCCAAATAACAGCCCTGGTAGTTGCAAGATTACTCCCAGACTCTGCTGCAGCTACTAGAGCCTTCACGAAGGCCACCTGGGAGCCCTGGGGGACGAACTATTTAATAAGTGGCTCTTCCCTCCAGATGCTATCTCAGCAACACCAGTTTCCAGTGCATTGATGCTCTCCCTAATCCCTGGTCCTGCTCCAAAGTTATCCTTGCCCTCGTGCCATCTTCTTGGCTCTTGACCTTTGGCTTGTTTTGACTACACTTTGCTATCTGACTACACTTTGTTTGCTTCCCCATTTGTTCCTGGTTTGACCTTGGCTTACTCCAGATAATGGCTTGGATTTGGCTGGCGACTGGACTTTGGTCATATAGTTTACTGACTGTATTATCTGGGTCCTGGTGCTTCTGTTCAGCTTTCTTCTGCCCATGCCCCAGACCATACAGGCAGTAGGATTGACCACTTGTGCAAGCAGAAGTTATTTGTTCTAAGATTAACCTTTTTCTTTTAGCAGGCTCTTTCTGCTCAGTTGGGGTTGTCTTTAGAACTGCTAGGCCCTTATTGTATGGCATGTAAGTACAGTAATTTACTACTCCTACAGAGGAAACTCGGAGTATTTTGTATTCTTTTTGCATTCTTATTTATGACCACAATCGTTCTTCAGTGCTTCAGGTATCAGCTAATCAAAAAATATACAAATTGCTTGATATAACTATTATGCTGACAGAGGGTATAAAAGATACATCCAGGTTGATTATTTTAGTGGTATATAACATCAAACAACTTGCAATTCCTAGCTACCACCATCCTCATTCATTCATTCATTCATATCATTTTTATCTCACTCCGGAGTTAAAATGTCCCACAGCAGCTCACAAGAATCAGTCCAAGTCCTTCGGCTTACAAGAGAAAAGAAGGGGAAAGGATGATCTTGATACTTGAATCAGTTCCCCAGATAGATGGGAATGTGCCTGCACTGGAACCAACTGCACTCAGGTTTGCACTGCATCTACTGTCCTTCTGGCTGATATGTTCTTTGATGCCCTATTATTCCTCCTTTCTTTCTTCTCTTTTGTCTCTGCTTCTGAGCTTAAGCTTGATTTATTTCTTTTCCCATCCCCTCAGGGAAAGTTAGTTCCTCAGATGCCTTTCAGATGGCAGTTGGAGAAGGGAAAGGCCATTTTTAGGAAGTAGGTGTTGGCAGCTCAGTCATCTTTCCGCTTACATGACACGAAAGTTAAAGTACAAGCCTTAAGTTGTTCAGTGAAAGCCAATCAAACAGACAGCATGAAAAGATAAGATTCCCTCTTCTTCTTTCAGGCCTACCTCCCACAAAGCCTTCTCTGCATATAGGGAACAGGATGAAAGTAGAGGAGGAGGAATCAATTCATACAAGTTCAAATGTATTTCTATGCACAGTAGCAAATAAAGACACTTACTATTGACAGTGCTATAAATGAGAGTTGTCATTTAAACCATGGACCCAATGTCAATAGCAGAAAAATAGCAGAAACAAATGCCTACCTACAATGCCTTTGTAGCTGGTTGGTACAATATCTTCATTTTTAAATTTTGCCCCCTGGAGTTTCAGACGGGTGTTAACTACCCAGAGTGGAGTTGTCAACAATACATTCACTATTCCTGAGGAAACAAACTACAAGGTAAATTAAAAGACACCTAAGAAAATGTAGAACAAAAACAACCATTACCAGAAATGATCCTCATTTTAACTTCATTGTACAAAAAAGTTAAGACAATATAAGAGCATATTCCAAAGGAACAGCAAACACATAATGCTCCAGACTGGGGATTTTTTAGGACAGAAGCACAGCAAAGTTAAGGAACTTGCCAGCCTGCCTTGTTCTAGTTCTTCACCTTACTGAGAGTTGGCAGTTATGTGAGATGACATATATAATCTGCTGAGCCAACCTGGAAAATCAGGTTTGCTTGACATAGCAAGAACACACCTTAGTACTCACAAATACTTACTATGACTTGATACAAAGTAATGTGACACAGAAAAAAGAGCTAACAGAATGTAACACAGAAAGTGCCTTATTTGCATTTACAAGTGTTAGTGAATATGTACATGCTTTGACACTTCTCCACAAAAGCATTTGATTCATGATTAATATAGTGTGCATATTATTGTGCTTTATTTTACTATGCTTGATCTCAAAAGGCAGATATTTCTAACATGGCTTACTCTTTATTTTCAAACTGGTTGCTTCCCCCAATAACAAAACCAAAAAAGAACATCAAGCTCATTTTTGAGCAGTTTTGCAGTTTGCAAAATACATCCTTTGAAAAATGATTTATGGTGACAACTGATTGGTTGAACTCATTAATATTCATGTGGCATGTTTCAATTTTATTTTTCAGGAAGGATAGGCTTGTTGAAGTATCTGAACCACTGCTGACTTGGCTGGTGTTCATTATCTTATTTCATTGGCAAAGTAAGGCTCACCCCATCTCAGAGGAATGAGCTATGATCTCTCCCCTCTTATGCTTTATTTGCCATTGCCCTTAACTGATAATCCACTAGTTCTTGGTTTTAGAATGTTTGGTATGCACAGTAGCAAATAAAGACACTTGCAGAATCCAGCAGAGGAAGGCTACATATGAAGAAAGATTATGAAGCAAGCCTTCATGTATGTCTTCCAAGTTCAAACCACACAGAAATTATAAATACAATCTATGCTAACTTTATGAGTTGATTACAGCACTCAGTTGATTAAACTTGTAACACAAGTGGTAGAAATTCATTACCTGCAACCATGCCAAGAATCAAGTCTTTTCCTGTAGCTGAATGTTGATCTTTGACCCACATAGCTTTCAAACTGTTAAATGTATAGAAATAGACAAAGTTGGAACAGCAAAGGCTAGAGATGACAGGGAACCATCCTCGATAAGGTGCAAGGCTAAGGAACAAACAAAAGCGAAATGTAAATATTACACAGTTAGGCAAAGCAACAACACCCACAGACTTATCCAAGCCTAAAAATTCACATTATCAGGACACAAATTTGTGTCTGACACAAATGAAGTCTTTATTTTTTGCTGAAGAATTCAATATATTTTATTAGTAAGAATGCAATCCTATGAACACTTGGCATTGAATCTAATAGAACTCAGTGCCGCTTAGGACTGAGTAAATGTGCACAGGATCAAATCTGTTTTACCGTTGAATAAACAGAAAATTTTATCCAAAGCTGAAGAGGAAGAAACAACAGCACCACTGTTTAAATACTTCCTGTGAGAAAAAATTCCAATTTATATTATGGAATAAATTAAATAAAGTACTACAACAATGCCTTATCATAAACAGCAACTTTACTCTGTTCATTCTAAAGGCCTTAAAAGTGTCAGATGCCTCAGAACATTTCATGATTATCTGGTATTGCAACACTAGGAAGGAAAAGTGTTGCAGCAATTCTCTTACTAGAGCATGCTGGATCCTTTATTGTTATTTTGAATTACAGAATAATGATGGCATCACCAACAAGTCTGTAATATGCTTTTGACACAATTCCATCTTTCAAAGACAAATGTTTTTATTAGATCACACAAGGACAGGATTCTATGGGGTGGCCTCCATCCTTACTCAAATTATCCGTGATACAGAGTTAGTTCTGCTGGGTAAAATGTTCTGAACTTACAGGCCTTCTTCTTTTATTATCTCCAACAGAACTGTGTGTGTTCTTTTCGATTTGCATTTTTCATCAACTGGAACAAAAGAAAAATAACCTCTATTACTCTTCCAAGTCTTGAAACTTCAGATGTGGTGGGGAAGAAGGTGGGACAGCAAATACAAGTACTTGCAATTCTCATCCCCAGCCTTCTCTGTCTCATCTTCAACTGAACTTTTGCTGTCTTACTCATGGGAATATGTGTTAAGTGGCCACAAGTTTGGAATTGGAATGAAATACAGAAGTAATATTTTGGCCAATATGGATAAAAAATATGTATCATATTTAAAGTTGCTTTAAATTCACATCACAGGGTCAACTAAAGTATGTCTTCTGCAAGAAGTGACCACGTTCTTTCCAGCTACTCAATTTCAAAAGTTTCCTTTCTCTGCCTAGTCTTCAATATCAAATCACTGAACTGAAAAAAAAAATGGCGGCATTCAAAGTCTTCATGCTTCTCAATAGTTCAGGAGTTACACCAGAGTCTCCAGACATACCAGTTTTCTCTTCCAAACTGGGGTACATGTACAGAAGCAAAGCTATGTACATATTTTTAAAACATTAGCACATCTCCTTTCATGCCTATGGGAATAAAGCATAACATATTTCCAAGAATATCATATCATAAACCACTATGTTTTTGTACTCATGTAATTTAACGACTCAAGTGTTAAATATTCCTTCCTAGGGGCAATATTCAACAATGTCATGCCACTAATGCAAATAACACTGTGGTCACAAAAACTAGGAAAATCTAACTAAAGTTATATTTGTATAAGCATGGTTACACAACTGGTTGTGCAACTGACTGCACAAATGTAATGCTCAACCAATTGCACAATGTAAAGGTTTTGTGGAGCTTCATTAGTGCTACTGCAATTGAGGAAGTACCCCACCAGATGTCTTCAGTATCACACATGGCGACCAAAGCAAAACTAAAATATAGGTATCAAAGTCAGATATTTGAAATGCTTCCAAGGTGTCAAGGGTTTTTCAGATTCTGAAAATATTATGTGCAAAAAACAACCAAATTTCAGAAGACTGTCACACCAAATATAGTGTGATTGTGTGATGCATCCAGCAATATTCATCCTAATTGGGTGACTGATCATTGCTACATTATTATATCCAATGTTACTCAGTCCTATTCATTTCAATATGTAGGGATATAAAACCCATTGTTTCCTTTGGAAATCTTTATCTTTGTTAAAAAGCAATTTAACTTGATGGAAAATATTTGATTATCACAAAATGCTGATATGAAAACTGTTTTAGAGTTGACTTGGACTGTGGAAATCTTGGTTCAAGCCATGAAGCTAACCGAGGGCCATGGCCAAGCTATTATCTTACAATCTAAACTACTTCACAGGATCATGATTAGGATAAAAATGTGACAGCTCTGTATATGCTACGCTGAACTTCTTAAAAGAATGATTGGTAGGATACAAATGCAATAAATAATAAAAAGCCAAACTGAAGGCACTATCAGTATAAAATATATATAACAGTATATTTTTGCTTACCTTGAAGTCTTAATCTAGCTGTATCCAAAGGGAAAAAAACAGTCATTGCAGTCACGCTTCCCTAAAAGGTTTAACACAGAAAATTAGCTTTATTTTATCACACTGATTTTTGCAAATCTGTAATTCACAAGAAGTGCTATTAAGAAATATTACAGCACAAAACCTCCATATTCTTCTGTATCTGAACAAACTAAAAACAAAACAAAAAACTGAAGGATTTTGCTAAAACTGAACAAAGTAGGTTGTGTCAATGAGGAAGGGAACTGCACAGGTACAAACTTTGCCTCCAAGAGATCCTAATCCTGTGTTTCCATCAACATAAACTCTTCTGTTGGTGAGATGTACAGAAGGGTTTCCAAAGAGGTCTTATTCTACAGATGGGTTTATATGAATGGAAGAAATCTTTCAAATATTTTGCAGTAGCTGAATTTTTGCAAATGTTCTTCAATGCAGAGTGTGTTTCAGTAATCTAAGTGGGAGGCTATTAAGGCATGGATCACTGTGACCAGAACTGTTTTTTCCAGGAAGGGAATACAACTGGTTTAATACCTGAAGGCACACCCAGCCACAGCAACTACCTGACCATTAAGGAGCAGTACCATATTCAAAATCAGTTCAAGATGTGAACCTAGTCCCTTCAGAGGAAATACCACCCTATCTGTAACAGTGTCTACTCAATTCCATATTACCTTGTCTGCTATCAACAATACCTCTGTCTTGGGTGGACTAAGACTTTTTTTTTTGATAAAAGCCATAATGCTTTAATATATAGTTACATTTACAGCCCTCCATACTGGAATGGCTTCTGAGAGGTTAGGATACGTTAATCACAAAACTCCTTTTTTACTGCATTGATTAAATATTACACTGTCCACAAAAAGCCAATCTGAATGAGAAACACTGTATTGCTTCCACAAAACTATTATATTGCATTTATAATAAACCTTTTTAGTCTTGCCAGGAACCCAAGGCAGTTTACATAGTTCACCTCAACCTCATTTAACCCTCACTACAACAACCTGTGAGGAAGGCTAGGCTGAGAGTTGTTACTAGTCCAAGGTCGCCCAGTGAGCTTCATGGCTGAATGAAGATTAGAACCTGGATCTCACAGGTCCCCAGTGCAACACTCTAACCACCATAACACACTGGATTTAGATTTTTAGACTTAGACTTCGATAAGGCTCAAGGACAATGGGATTTACATAACCGACATGAATACTTACAGTTCTGATTTGATACCTAGATAAACTGAAGAGTGAGTTTCCAGTCAATCTTAAATCTTGTGTTAGAACATTGATATAATATGAAAAATCTACTCCTGGAGCTTATGGTCTTTTATAATAATGTTTACTATACTGGCATTAAATTGCAACAATATATTTTTGGGATGGGCATGGTAGATATCAAGGATAAAAGATAATACATAACCACCAAAATCATGTCCTGTCCTGCCCCATCCTCTCTCTTCGACTATAAATAGTTTTATAAGGTACCACTTTACTTTTGTACAGAACCCAGCATTTAAGTACAAATGATGTCCTTGATACTAAAAGCCATCTTAATGAGGACAACAGAAGTGTACTGATAGGGTAGAACCTTTTCTTACAGGGTAGAAAAAGCATGGATGTGATCCTTGCCTTAACAGGATGCTTATAATTCTCCTAGCTGGGAAGGTTACAGGTAGCGACACTGGTCTGTGATGTTTTTAAAAAGAGATCTGCAGACCAGAGGGCACTGGGCAGGTAAAATAACTTTAGAGCTCTCCCATAATTCCAACCCATGTGCAAGTAAAAAAAAAGTTTGATAGGTGTAGAAGATATTTTCACATGAACTCTCACTCCGTAACAGTGCACCATTCCTAAAAAATTACTTTCCTAGGCTGAGCAACTGCTTTCACACATACATACATGTAAGGGGGCTGCCACTGTACTGGTTTTAGAAAAGTTAGAAGCACTACATTTATAAATACCAGTAATCTCAATGCTGCACAAATTGGGAGATGATTTAATCACAGTTTTACCAAGTTCCTTTGTAGGAATTAGCAGTGTCTAGGATTCTGATTAAATGTTCACTAACTGGTTGTATTCATTCTTACACAGTGCAATATTCAAAACCAAAAATCAGAACTAACACATTTTGCAGTAATTAGAGAGAGAGAGAGAGAGAGAGAGAGAGAGAGAGAGAGAGAGAGAGAGATAATGAGAATGAGAATATATGTGTATGGACTTCTATGGCATTAGTTTAGTTAACTAAGAATGGTGTTATTTAGCATTTTAAAAATAGATATTTAAAGAACACAGGGTTTTGTTGTTGTTCAAAAAATGCCTTAACTTATAAGCCAGTATTATGATTGCAGAATTCTGTGTGTTAGTTCCCATCTTTAGGTTAAGTTGAAAAGGTTCTACAAGAAAACCTAACTCAAAATGTAACTTAAATGCTAATATATTCTAGAAGCTAACTTTTTAAAAGTACAGTAGTAACAAATAAAAGACTGATTATAGGGAATTTTTCTATATAGGCTATAAAATGGAGGAAAGCTCATTGCAGAGGCAAATTCATGTGGAATAAGGGATTGCTCAAGAAGCATAAAGCTGAACAGACAACTTGCAAAAATGTGAGAACTATCACAGGTTATTAGTTGATACTAAGAAGATATACACAGTACCAGAACATCTGTTTACAACAGGAATATCTTTCATTGTAAACTATATTGAATCTTAGAGAGTCTCCAATGGCAGAAGGAAGTAGAAAGACTGTTGTCAAAGAAGCATCTGAGGGAGGAAAGCTCTCCTTAAGAGGAATAACCTGCTGTTACTCAAGTTACCTGTCTTACCTGTCTTCCTTCATTCACCCTGCCTTTGGGCCCTTACCTTGCAAATAGTGCAAAGGTTCTCAAACTGTGGTTCCAAAAAATCCATTTAGGTGAGCTACAGAAAGGTTGCAAACAGTTGTATTTGGTCCTACATTTGATTTGGTAAAGGGCAGATTATTGAACACTAAAAAAGTTCCAGTCCAGTGCCTATGTTTGTCATTATACAGTACTGGAATAATCTAATTTCCCCCAGACTTTACAAGTTAAAGGAGCTCTTTGCTCTAAGGCTCATGATTTTCATGATGATGTTTTAATGATGCTGCCGCCATTGGAAAAAAAAGTGGTACACCAAGCAAATTTCAGCCATGTAAGAAAGCAGTATAACACAGAGTTTGAGACCTGCTGTTCTGTGGGATCCCTGTGATTTTTCCATGGACTAGGTTTGCTGGATACAGCAAAAAGCACTCTATCCCCAAAGTTGTTGGTGCTTACAATGATTTGTTTTTCAAAAATACAATCTGTATTGTATCAAAGCAAAGGGAATAGGTAAATGAAAAGGCAGGGGAAAAGGTAAGAAAAACCAATACATTGCTAAATTGTGGGGATGTGCAATAAGATGAGCTAAAACAGTATAAGCAACTTATTACTTTCTAAAAATATTTATGCTATAGGTGACAATAGAGTACAAAGCTCCATTCTCTAACCTTTTTATGATAACTGCTCCAAGCTACACTTGGAGCTTGCATTGAGTTTTCCTAGGAAAAAAAGTTTAATCATACTCAAGGTTCAACAGCAAGCTTGGACTTTGATTTTCAACAAAAAGGCCCCTTGATCCTGAATAGATACTCAAGTAAATATAGATAACCAAGTGATGTTCCACGATGCACATTTGGTGAAGCCAGTTGCATGTAGCAATGTGTCTACATGTTACTTTAAAGAAGTTGCAAGTAGTTAGAGCCAGTCCCTCAGTTACGAACATCTGAATTAAGAACAATCCCTACTTACGAACAAGCAAACCCAGAAGTCCTGCCTCGTCCTTGAGCCGCAAGTGGGCACCCATGGGTGGCAGGCAGTGAGTGGGCGCCTGCAGGAAGGAGGGGAAAGGAAGGAGGAGGGGAAAAGTGGTGAGCAGTGAAGTCGGAACTAGTACTGTGACAGAACTACAGTAGTTTTTCATGCTCATGAAGATCTAGTGTATTCAAGCCAGTGTGTCTGGATCCCATGAAATTTGTGTTGCCTTCTGTAACTTTGTACTCTGTTTGGTTTGTAACCATGCCTCCAAAATGTAAATCTGATGCAAGTGCAGGTGGTACCTCAAAGAAAAGAAAAATAATCATGATCGAAACTAAAGTGGAAATAATAAAGCAATCAGAAAATGGTGAAACACCATTAGTCATTGGGAAAGCATTAGGCTTTAGTCATTGAGCAATCAGATTTTCTCTCTCTATCATTATTAAAATCCTGTATTGTCTTTAAGAAGTATTACTGTATATGGAAGCATTTCTTAAGTGTTTTATATGCTTTTTATATGTGATCTGACTTACATACAAATTAGATTTAAAGATGATTTCAGGAATGGAACTCATTTTTAACCCAGGGACCAGGTGTATATAAAATGCAGATAAGAATGCATTTTTTATTCAACACCTCTCATAAGGTGTCACTAGTACACTCTTATAACTTGTTGGGATATTGAGTGTCTTTAACTTTCTTAAATCTCCCTCTCTTTCTCTTAGTAGGTAACACTGCCACCAGAGATTTAATCTCAATCTAGGTAATAAATCTCCCACAGTACTGTGCCCAAGATGTAAGGCTCCTTTATTGGACTATGTGGTCCTGAGGATGAGATGCATATAATCAAACAGGCTATGACTCTAAGTTAACAATAAACAAAATGAAACTGTATTTGTATAGTAAGTGTATTGGCTTCAAGATGTTCAGTAAATTATTTCCCTAGAAAATAAACCAATATATAATAGTAACTTCTAAGGTATTTTACTCTTTCCCCACACAATCCTCACAACATAGATCCTCATTTCTCTCCGGTTTCTGTTGGCTTCTCTCTCACATTCTCATAATATTTGACAATGTAAGGTTCTGTCTTTCCCTAGTTGCAGATATTTCCTTTAAGTATTCTACTTCCTCAGAACCTTAAATGCTCTGTAGGATTCTAATGAGAAGACGGCCCATTACGGCTCTGTAGACTCTGACAAACCACAACTCTGTTAACTTCTAACAGATTACACTGTAACTGCTGACAGACCACCACTCTTCAACTGAAAGGTCTCTCTCGACCACCCCAGCGCACCTCCAAGCTCCACCCACATACTTTCGGTCACCAACCAATCACTTCTCTCACTCACCCCACTTAGTCTTCTGAAACTTACCTACATTCAAAGGAACGCAGTCTCATAACACTTTAAATCATTACAGAGGGGCTAAACTACAATTTTACAGATAACCACTTTCCTTACATGTCTTAGTCGTAGGAAAATAGCATCCGTGAACAACCTGCTTCAGAGAAGAGTTAGAACAGTATCATATACCCATACCCCGTCCCAAACAAGGGAGGCAATACAAAAATGATAGCATTCTCCTCACTGCTTGGCAGGTCTTCACTGATCAAGCCTAAGTGACAACAACCGCAATGGTGACCAGTTATTAGAAATCGTAAGTGGTCGTCCGTATCCAAGCCAGTGCGTTTGGTCCGTATTCACCCGTCGTCTTGGCAGTTTGGGCATGGAGGCATCAGCCGAAGCAAAAGTTGAGAGGCTCTACCTCAAGTGCTTGAACGCATGACAAAGATGATTCGCGAGAAGCCCCCCCGCGCCCCCGTGCCCATACGGCAGGACTAAGCACTGGAGCCCGCCCATATCATCCCTGGAAGAGGCCTCCCACTTTCCTCCCAAGATGCAAGTCAACTCACCAGAGCTCCAGCCATGGCATGTACCAAACTCTCGTAGGAGAGAACTCCGGCCATGGCTACAGTTCCGGCACGTCCGTACCAGCGAACTTCTGTAACTGCATGCAAGGGAGACGAAGGAAAAAGAGCCGTGAGTCACCAGTATTGCCCCCGCCCATGCCTCTGCAGCGGGCACGTGACTTCGGTGTCCACGTTTCCTTCTTCTCGACCAATCACACGGCAACTAGGCCCTGTCACTGACTTGGTGAAATGACTGGCCGCCAGAAGAGCTGCGGGCGCGCTGCTCCACACCGCCTCTAGCCCGCGAGTTTTCAAAGCAAGTTGGGAGGGAGAACTTTCTCTTGATTGGCCCCTCCCCACCCCGCGCCTTTTTCTAGCGCGTGGCTAGATTCATCAACTGTTCTGGCGGAAAAAAAGGGATGTCTGAGGGGCAACATACTTCGCGTGAAACAAAGTCCTGTTTACTGAGCAGCAGATAGTGGTTTTTTAACAGCAAAAGCATTTCGGTTCTGCTAAGAGGCGAAGAAAGCACATGCCCTCCTGTGCCTTTTATTGGTTTGCTTTTAAATACTCGATAGTCTTAAGTCTTCCCTTTTGCGTTTTGGCCCTTTGGTTTCAAAACACTACCGTATCGACGATCAACTCTGTACTCTCATCATTCTAGAACAGCCTTTTTTTTCATGCTGCTCTGGCCAAAAGGCAAGTGATGAACAGCACAGAAGTTTACTTTGATATAAGCTGTAGCAAATCGATTCCACATTATTCAAAGTGCAGCGCTCCTTTATCCCATTTAGAGCATGCAATAATAGGTCATATGTATAACCTGCACGGTCCAAGAGTCATGTAAATTCAGGCTGTGTACTCATGATAACTTCAGAGATTTGAAGCAGATACTGTAGCCTATTGCCTAATACACAAGCATTTATTTTTCTAGTGTCTGGGTCTCAAACCAGTTTTGCAGGTTAACAGTACTACAGGGTAGTATCTGTTGAAAGCCAAACACTTGACGTTGAGCAGTTACAACTGCTGCAGCACATGGTTGGACTAGGCACGTAAGAAGCCATGAAAAGGATCTGCAATATCACTCATGACAAAGCATCTTGACCCTACTTGGAAAAAATGTTAGAATAAAGCATCTTACATTTTTTCAAAGGTTGGTAAAGTAAAAATATGTGCATATTCATTTAAATCATGTATTAGCATAGTAAGGATTCTCATTCCTGCACACAATGCTCCACACGCAGAGGTGTTGCAAATTGAAGGTGACATTTTTCCTCTGCAGCACATTAAATTCCTTTCTTTTTGTTTCTTTGTGAACTAAAGGTGATCGCCACTCAGCTGAGCTGTACTAGATTAGGGGAAGCTGCTGCAATTATAAATTAGGCACTGGATACTGGGTCTGAGAGACTTTTCCCCTGCAACCAAACTCTCCAAATTATACTTGCATGTTTATCAAGCTATCAATTGAAAGTACTTAAAACTATGAATATCTTGCTAAATACTTTAAGCAGAGTTTATACAAAAATAAAACAAGAAGATTCTTCAAAACCAGTCTTTATTATTTTTAAAGGCAACTAGAATTAATTTCAGAACTATTTCTTAAGCAAAAAATGGATTTCTCTCTCTTTTCATTTGACAAGATGACTGTATGAGGACAAAACTTTATGGAATTAATTTTTACAATCTGAGTTCCTAAACCAGTCCAGATTTAATTAGGAAAAATCACTTATCGATTCTGACAAAATTACAAGAGTACAGAACAGGAAACATTCAAAAGCCCTATAAGAGTCCAAGACCTAATTATATTAAGCTTTTCAACATTAAGAGCAGAAAAAAAAACAGAATTGTATTAGTTTCAGCAAGCATTTCAACAAGGTGTTCAATGAATACACATGCTGTAATTAATTAGGATGGGCCATTCCAGACCAGACCTTCTGTCTTCGCCCCTTCAGAACACAAGCTGCACAAGTATCAGTGTGACAGTATCACATTAACAAGCCCCCATAAAACAAGTATTAGAGACTGATAACTGGAGTACAAGGATATAGGACTCAAATGAATTAATGGAACTAACACCATCAAATCTTTAAAATCTGGACAAGATATGCAAGTTTATTCAGACTTAAGAACTTAGAATCCAGAGGGTCATCACTTCACTACTAACTTACATTGTGCTGTCTACTTGCATTCTGAATTGATTAAATAATGAATGTGAGAGGGTAGCATGAATTAATTTGTTTCTCTTGTATAATATTAGGGAGTTAAGCCAGGCAATAATATTTAATAGTCAAATCAGTACAAATAATGAAGAGTTTCCCCGCCACTGGAGTCAATCAGCTTACTAATAGTGAAACATATGCCCCTTATGCACCATGACAAGAACATGTTAATTTGTTCAACATTGATTGTGTAAGTAGCCCAGCATCAATAGCATTTGTACTAACACATTTAAAGCCAAAACATGCGACAGTAAGGGTGTCTCCAATTGTTCCAGATTGTGTCACCTTTGTGAATGTACAAAATGAATATGGATATACTATTTCTTTCAGTTAAAATAAAAATGCTAGGCCTCATCTCCTCATACTAGAACTTAAACATTGTTAGAAGTTCTTACAAAGGATCCAATGAAGTTATAAAAGAATCACTCCAACACAACACCCCTAAAGAAGAAAAAACCTTAACCACTCACTCTATTCTTTCTGGAACAATTCACTGGGAGATAACAATGCAATTTGTGCTACTGTTAAGACAAATTCGTGGGCAAAGGTGGTGAGAAAGAAATAACTGTTTTTGAAATAAAACCTGGATATGATCATGAATAAACATTCTTTTCTGAAGCATCAAGGGAGGAGAAAGGAATTCTACCCAAAGCACTCTTGTTCTCATTTGAGAATCAGAGGTACAATGGTTTGTGTTATTGCAACATACAATAAGTGAATAATATTCCCCCATGCCTTGCCACGAAAGGGGATTTTATGGTTGGCTTCCAAATTTGGCTGATAGTTTGCCAATGAGATTCATAACTTTGGGGTTATTCTGGTACTTCGACATGTTTGCTGGGTTCTGGGCAACATCTTGAAAAGCTGCCATAACTTCTGGATCCTGTAAAACAAGAAGGAAAATGGGTTTGGCTTGTACTATCTTATGAAATTGAGATTTTATTCAATGGTTTAAGATAAGGCCAACACTGAATCAAACAAGATCATCCCTACTAATTTCAATGGGATTAAACACCTTAGGCTGTGGTCTAAATCAGAATATAAAACTTGACATGAAAAGCAAAACTCAATACTAATGATCTAGTATCTGAATCGGTATGAATTTATTTAAACAAAGCACAGAAGGCACTGTTTCAGACCTACTTTACATTTCACTCACATAACTAACAATTCTGAAGTTATTCTCTGGAATGACAATCCAAGTGAGTAATTAAAAGTGTTGTCAAAAACAAAGACGACGCTGTGGCACCCAGAGGACAGCATAATTCAGAGCCTTAGGTGGGTATTGCACAGAAGTAAAGTGACTTCACCCATGCCCAGTCTGCTCTGCCAGCAAGTTCCTTTGAATCCAACTACTGGATTGATTACCCTTCTTTGAGGAAGGACAAGAAATTCAATATAGAGTCTTATAATGTAAAACTGCCTCCAACTAAATCAAAAGCAATATTTTGCCTAGCCAACACTAAAGACAACACTTTACTTAGGCTAAACAGAATTGGTTTCATTTGATACTGGATATTCTTGCTCTAAAAGGCAACATTTGGTCTTTCAAACAAAAACAGAGGATTTACCTTCCCTCTATATTAATATGTTTCTGCTGAGAGCCATCCAAACTTTACTTATCATGCCATATTAAGAAATCACACTGATTTGAGTGCTAATTGTCCACAATCTAACTACTCCACTATTAATCTAAGAAGGGATTATTCAATTAAATGAGGAATTTTTAAACATTAGTGGGAAACAAGGAAAGGTATGCAGATTACAAAAATTATGAAGGGAATTTTGTTGAGTGAATTATATTAACAAGCAAATTAGATTTGATAGGCTTGCTAGATGGTACTATTTACAGATAGGCTTTTAGCCTTTTAGCTTTTATTGTTTTTAGATTGGTAGATATACTTTTTAGATCTTTATATTGGTGTTAGTTTTTACTTTTGCTTTACTGTGCAGTTTTACAGTTTTAATTTTTACATTGTATCTTACTGCACTGCTGCTGCTGTTAATCACCAAGTCATGTCTGACCCATCACAACCCCATAGACAACATTCCTCCAGGCCTTCCTGTCCTCCACCATCCCCCAGAGCCCACTTAAGCTCACACCAACTGCTTCAGTGACTCCATATAGCCACCTCATTCTCTGCCGTCCCCTTCTTTTGCCATCTGTAGTTCCCAGCATTAGGCTCTTCTCCAGAGAGTCCTTCCTTCTCATTAGGTGGCCAAAGTATTTGAGTTTCATCTTCAGTATCTGGCCTTCTAAAGAGCAGTCAGGGTTGATCTCCTCTAGGACTGACTGGTTTGATAGGCTTGCAGTCCAAGGGACTCGCAGGAGTCTCCTCCAGCACCACAATTCAAAGGCCTCAATTCTTTGGTGCTCAGCCTTCCTTATGGTCCAACTTTCACAGCCATACATTGCAACTGGGAAAACCATAGCCTTGACTATACACGCTTTTGTTGGCAGGGCGATGTCTCTGCTTTTTAGTATGCTGTCTAGATTTGCCATAGCTTTCTTCCTCAGAAGCAAGCATCTTTTATTTTCTTGGCTGCAGTCCCCATTTGCAGTGATCCTGGAGCCCAGGAAAATAAAATCTGTCACTACCTCCATTTCTTCCCCATCTATTTCCCAGGAAGTGAGAGGACCGGATGCCATGATCTTAGTTTTCTTAATGTTGAGTTTCAAGCCAACTTTTGTGCTCTCCTCCTTCACCCACATCAAGAGGCACTTTAGTTCCTCTTCACTTTCTGCCATTAGAGTTGGTATCATCTGCATATCTGAGGTTATTTCTCCCAGCAATCTTAATTCCAACTGGTGATTCATCTAGCCCCGCCCTTCTCATGATGTGCTCTGCATATAAGTTAAATAGGCAGGGTGACAGTATACAGCCTTGCCGAACTCCTTTCTCAATTTTGAACCAATCAGTGGTTCCATGTCCAGTTCTCACTGTTGCTTCTTGACCCACATATAGGTTTCTCAAAAACAAGTAAGATGGTCTGGTACTCCCATCTCTTGAAGAACTTGCCACAATTTGTTGTGATCCACACAATCAAAGGCTTTAGCATAGTCAATGAAGCAGAAGTAGATGTTTTTCTGGAACTCCCTACTTTCTCCATGATCCAGCGTATGTTGGCAATTTGATCTCTAGTTCCTCTCCCTCTTCGAAATCCTGCCTGTACTTCTGATAGTTCTCGGTCCACATACTGCTGGAGCCTAGCTTGTTAGGATTTTGAGCATCACTTTGCTAGCATGTGAAATGAGTGCAATGGTGCAATAGTTTGAACGTTCTTTGGCATTGCCCTTCTTTGTGATTGGAATGTAAACTGACCTTTTCCAATCCTGTGGCCAGTGTTGAGTTTTCCAAGTTTGCTGGCATATTGAGTGTAGCACTTCTACTGCATTGTCTTTTAAGATTTTGAATAGCTCAGCTGGAATACTGTCGCCTCCACTAGCTTTGTTGTTGCTCAGACTTCCTAAGGCCCATTTGACGT